CACTTTTGTCTTGCAAATATTCATTACTATAATATTATTATATTATAGCTAAAAGTAGTGAATACTCGCGGGAGCTGCGAGCATGGAGTCATTATAACGTACGCTAGAGGTCAAACTGGCGCTCCTGTGCTGTTTGAAATTAAAGCAGACAGCAACCGGTTTGAAATCAACTTCCGGTAACGCATGTTTACGGGAAAAAGTAAGTGCATTTTGTCCCTCGCGGCTTGATTATAAGAGCAAATATCACTAATGATACGTACGCGCTCAATAGCTTCGAACAGTTCTCAGTCCCGCGGACAGAAATATTGATCAGTTACGGCGTTTTTCTCTCAAATTCGGGACATTAAAAACGGCGCTAAAATGGCTTCGTAGATGTATTTATCTGCACTCTCCGACACTGTTAGCGCAAATACGACATCGGCACTTTTCTGCGGGGGTTTGCGTGCCAAAGCAATGAAGAGTATCTCGAAAATCAATAGAGACGTCATGAACTACACACAAACACTAGATATCAGCACCTACCTGTCCATGTAGACGATCAAAATAAAGCAAAACAAAGTAATGAGTGCGATTCGCTAGAAATAACACTCGTTTTATTCATTCTGCTGCTCATATGAGTGCAAATGTGAGCTTGTTCTAGCGTTAAAAATGTCAAATCTGCATGGCGCCAGTTGAACCTAGAGCGTTACATTATGATAACTCTATGGGTGCGAGTGTCTGGTTCTCTGCCGTTTATCTAAAAAAAAAAAAAAAAAATTGTAATAAACAAACGTCACATCAACTTTTTTTTTTTTTTTTTTTTTTTTTTTTTAAGGAAAAGCTTTAATGTTTTTTACGCGAAAAAGCGGCGGCGTTGTGTCCGAAAGATGGCCACACAAATTCGTCATCAAGCGCGCGCCTCAGAAATAAAACACAAAGAAAAGCACAGCCACGTGGATGCTTCGTCGCGGAAGCCGTCGTGAAGCCGGCGGGGTTTACCGCGCCTGCGCAGTGGGGGTTAGTGACGTCACCGCCGGTGCGCCGTGTGAAAAAGGAAGATGTGGCGCGCTGCTTGTAGGAATGCGCTGCGTGGAGGAATGCGAGAGCATTCCTACACGTAAGGAATTTTAAGTATCTCTGCCAAATGTTTTTTTTTTCTTGTCAAAGTATGAAAAAAAATCCATAGTCGCTGATAATTCATGTTTCACTGTGACCACGTATTCAAGGTCACAGGGTTTGTATAGCACAGAAGTGCTCCGGGAGCACCAGACCGTACAAGAACGAACTCAACGCCATCGATTCGACGTCGACGAGGCTTCAGATAATTCCTTTGGGATTTTTATTTATACCGACGTTTAAGGATTCCGTTCTGCTCAAATTTCAGCATTTCCTGCCGTACGTACAAGCCGAACTCAACCAATGCTGCTTTTATTTAATGTAGTTAATGACGCTTGGGAATAATTAGGACGACGGCGGAAAAAAACGCGCACCAGTTCGCACAGACGTCGTTTCATGTTTCTTAAACTAATTTAGACTCGCGTTTCATTTGCTCAACCTTTTAACTATGTGTAATACTTTCTTTTTACTGTGTAATACTTTCTTTTTACTGTGTAATACTTTCTTTTTACAAAAAAAAAACAAAAAAACGCCGAAATGTGCTGTACATAATAAAGATGGTTAACTATCCTTAATCAATACCGGGAAAAAAATTAACATACCTACTTTGTTTTTCTGACTATACACGTTTAGAAATTTAAATTGTACGCGGTCTCCGGATTATCTATTTTTTTATATAATCGTTCACTATTAGAGGATGCGACGTTTCTTTTTGTTTCCTTTAAATGACATATTGTGTCAATGACAATTTATGTATAGTACAAGTCGTTTTTTTTTGTTTTTTTTTTCGCAGAGCAAGCATTTTTTAATTTACCACCGCGTACTATAAATAAGGTGCATACAATAGTCCGGATAATACGGTACAGGAAGAGAAAAACTTAGGAGGAGCGGTTACTTGCCCACATCATTGTACGCCATTTAAAGGGTAATTGCGGTACATTTTCTTGATTTTAGGGTTACGACTGTTTTTGGGAAGCTATGTTTTAATGACAAAGCGTCTTTTTTTTTTTCTCTTTCGATGGTTTGTTTAGTTTTGTAGATATCTACATCTCAAATTCGAAGGTTTACGGCGAAACCCAAACTACCGGCTCGAGAATGACGGCAACCCTTGTGAGCACCTACAGGGTGTCAAAAAAAAAAAAAAAATTACACGGTTTTTATTGCCGCAAAAATAAACAAGGCATCGCCGAACGCTCACTCTCCGCCCAAAGGTAGAGCTAGAGGTCACAACCAGATCAGTTTCAGCCCGATCCGATAACTTGATCAAAAATTATAAGTGATTTTCTGAAAATATCAATGGGAAAATGGAGGCCGACGGACTTTTCGAAAACATGGGGCTCCATGGCACCAACCGAAAATGAGCAAAAATGGGCTCCATTTTCCCATTAAAATTTTCAGAAAAACACTTATAACTTTTGATTAAGTTATCGGATCGGGCTGAAACTTTGGCATCTGGTTGTGACCTCTAGCTCTACCTTTGGGCGGAGAGTGAGCGTTCGGCGATGCCTAGTTCATTTTTGCGTTAATAAAAACCGTGTAAATTTTTTTTTTTGACACCCTGTACTTGGCCATCGTCTGACGCGAAGTTCGTACCGCGGTACCGCAAAACGTACGCCTGGCCTAGTAGCAAGAGCAGTCAGGTAAGATGCCACGGCTGTTTTACTGCTTTGCTTAGTATATATAAAACATCTGTATCAAATATTACTACAGACTCTTAAAGTTTCCGGCTGAAAAGTCGAGTTCGCCACGATGAACGCGGGCTCAGCGCGGACCCAGAACGAGCCCCCACTTACCTTCTGAGAAGAACTACATTCTTGGTGGAGCGCAATGCCCGTTCCAGAAGCCTTGCAGCGTCGTTATGGAAGCTAATCGTAAGCTCACCCTGAACAGGAACGCACCAATCAATGACTAGCAGTTAAAGGTCTATTTACACTCCGACGTTGAGCGCAGTGAACGCAGCGTAGCGCAGAACGCGTGCCTTTCATTGGCCGGCAACCAGGAACTCGGGATCTGCGACCAATCAGTAGATGTGCGCGTTGCGCTACGCCGCGCCCGTCGACGTTACGTTGGAGTATAAACGTACCTTAAATGGCCACCTTAGGCACCACGACGCGCTTGATCGAGCAGAGAGTCAATAATCTTCGTGCGCGATCACATTTTGTATACATAACCAACAGAACACTCATCGTTTCGTAGATTAAGTCTCGTCTTCTAGATGGTATGCGCGCGAGGCAACCTGGCCTCGCCTTTCACCTATCGAGTTTACAGGCAGCACTACGATCGCAGGGTTGCGGCAGATTCCGGCAGGGAGAACTAGATTTCTCCGCTGGAAAGTCGCGGCTCATGGCCCCATGGGAGCGAAGCAGCGAAATGGAGCACTTATTCGCTTCTGAAAAAAAAAAAAAAAATGGAAGGGGAAAGAGAAAACAGCGCCAGTAGCCAGGTAATCGATCAGGCATTGATCTGCTAAGGTAGACATTCAACCGCCGCGTTCGTTTGAAAGAGTTCTCGCTGAGTAAGCAGCCGCCGACGAGGCAGAGTACAGGCGCGGATGCCATAAGCACAAACGCTGCAAACTTCGGCGCCCAGGGCCGGATTGCTGAATACAGGTACCTCTCCAGGCGGTCAACTCAGCCGCAAAAGGGATTTTGAGGCCCCGTGACCGGCTACGCGGGGTGAAATTACCTAGCGCTCCAGTCGATTCCGCGCAGCAGACGTAAGCCTTGCCTGTCGTTTTCTCCTCGCTTAGTACGACTTTTCCCAGAAATTACTTCACATACTGCTCCTAACGCAAACGAATGCAGTTTGTTTCACTTGCATTTCGAGCCTCTTCGCCCTTCTTTCAGCGCGCAAGATCTGACTTAAATTATCGAACCGAGGCCGGATTTTCCGCGGCCATTTGGCTGTAACGCGAGGTATACCTTAGTTACCTGTCCCCACGGGCCCGGTCACGTGACCCCAAAGTCCTTCTTTTGAGGCCGAATCAATTGTCGGGTGAGATACCCGCATGAATTAGCAAACCGGCCCAAAACTTCCCTCAAAGCCTAGATACAGTCACAGTGCTTGTCTTTGTCTACTCCTTCGTGTTTGTTCTGTGTTTGCGCATACATGTTTACTCTTCACAGCTCGCTCTGAGCATCCGTGGTCAACGACCCAAGCTGAAAGCGAGAGTACGTTATCCGCTAGAATGGAGCTCATTACATCGCTTACACGCGACGTCGTCGAAATTATGCTGGCGGTCATTCGTACCTGTTCGTACCGAGAAAAAGAAAATCGGAGGTGCGAATTGCATGCTGGGAAAGGTATGTACGCGATCAGCAACAAGGCCACCGAAACGGCCATTCATGTGACGTTAATGCAAGCCACGTACAGTGGATCAGCCGAAACATTGTGACCAGGCCTACCTAATACCGTGTGGATTCAAGTTTGGCACGCACCAACAGTTGCTAGGGGCGTCTCCTGCGAAGATCCAACACTGTCCGATGAACAGTGTCCTCAGAAACACTTTGTACCTTGAAAACACATCTTCGTCTAGCAGTAGTTTCATCTTCATTCTTTCACTTGTGGTAGGTGCTAACGACGGCAGCTCGTGAACACTCGACGAGATTCGAAGTTTGCGAGATACTTGTTCCGAGCCGTCCGCTCATCACGATCTGCCGTGTGTCCAAGTCGCCCAAATGGGCAACTAATCCCAATATATGCACATGTAGTCAACAAAATAATCACTCTGCTCCGCTTTGTGTTCTCCCCCGCAGTCATTGACTACCATCCGAATCAGCCAGTGGTCGATAACGCGGATGCCGCGTCCATTCAGTGTAGAGGGGGGAGCGGTCGTAATGTTTTCGCTGATCAGTGCATAGGACCAACACCTTCCAAAAGCACATAATAGATAAACAAACGCTGTGTTATATGTTTTTGTCTCCTTATTTTCCGGTTTATTTGAAGTGCCGAAACTCCCTTCAACGCACTTGTCGACATTAAAAAAAAAAAAAGAAAACTTTTAAAAGTCTGTTTTTTTTTTTTTTTTTTGACACAGAAAGCTTGTTTGGGACATCAAAGTGGGCACGTACTCGAACTGTTTGTCCTACAGCCACCAAATAAGACACGCTTTGAAGTAACGACAACTTCAGCCATCTTGGTGCTTAAAATCATTGCTGTCCGTTATCCGAAGCTTTACCTGAAATCGCAGGAAACAGTTTTTCGTCCTCTAGAAGCGTTAAAACAGTTCGCAACACAACAAAACGACATCGCCCGACCTTCCCGACGCCGTTTCAAAAGCTTAGCAAGTCGTATTCTCCAATTGTAACGATTGCCGATTGCGCCCACTCAGCAGTAAAAAAAATTAAACGTGGCGGTGCCCACAAGAAAATATGGGAATGAAGTGCCGATACTTCATGCCAGGCTCGTTCTAGTGGCTCTGGGTTAACCTAAAAACCGACCCTCGTACCCAAGGTCACCACGAACATCGAAGGCAGAGCGCTCCAGGTTAATGCAGCCCTCGGTTAGAATGCAGCATATCCGTTGAGCATCCAGCGTCGACAGAATGAAGAAAAGGCCTCCGTTGCTATGTCCCCGTCTGCTCTGGTAGTCAACTTGTTGTACTCAGTACCACCCCTAGGTAAGAATGGGTGCATCCTGGTTACTGGAACCCGGGTTTGGTCCGCCCGCTCAGCACACAGGGTTAGAAAAAGAAAATCGAAATTGGTAGAGCGCCGGAACGCTCTACCAAACTTGCTCAACTCGTCAAGAACTGTACACTGCCGAGAGTACCGAAGGTCATCACAAAAAACATGGGCTTAAACCTCTGGTTGTGGCACGAATTCACTGCACCCTCCAACCCATAGAGCCTTCGGGATTAGCAGACACAAGACAACTAAAGGCAGAACCCTTTCACTGTCGAAACTTCTCCTGGTAACCTGTTCAACTTACCGATTACTCTCCGAAATCTCTGTCAAACTCCCCATCCCTTTCCTCTAACGCAGAGTTGTCTACCGCGACAATTACTCCAGGTTGACTGCTCTGTCTTCCTGTTCTGTCCTCTGCTTCCTTGTGCCTACTGCAAGAATGAACCACGGTCCTGGCTTCCCGAGTTCCGGAGCTCCACGCCCGCTTAACGTCTCCATGGCGAAGCTCTTCGAAGAACACTCGGGGGTCACAACAAAGAAATGAGCGTGAGCCCTTAGAGACCAATTTTTCGTGGCAGGGCAGTCGAAGCAATAAACGCTCATGTCATTCGATGAACGGTTTCAAGATAGCGCTCGCGCATCGAGAGCGCTGGTAAGTGCAAGCTAGGCGCATCTCTCGCTTCCACTGCATTGAGACACAAATATGTCCTCGACCACGTCCTTCGATTCAGCGGTCGTCTGCGCTCCAGGGACAGATAATGTTTCTCTAAAAGATTACTACTTCCCCAGGGTGCCTCCTTTGTGTGTGGCACGACACACCAACGTCCCTTACCAAAAAAACGCCGAATACTCTGAGATTTCCGGGAGGTTCCCTCTAAACTCCTTCCTACCAGCAAAACTGCTTCCGTGCTTCGATCATGTATAGTACCATCAAAGGCACAAAGCACGAGAGTGTTCCGCCATGGAGCGCAAGTTCGTCTGCTTCTTTTGTTAAGGTTGTGGCAACGTCAAAACGCCGAGCTCTGATGGGCTCTGATTGAAGGATAGTGGGTAGACCTCAAGGCAGCTTGCTTTGAGGTCTACTCACTGTCTTTCAATCAAAGCCATCAGACCTCGGCGTTCTGACGCCACAACAGCTCCTGCAAAAGAAGCAGACGAACCTGCACTCCGCATGGAGTCGTCACGCGTCCGCACGTATCGCAACGCCCCCAAGGCCGCAAGAGAACTTTTGCGCGCCGCAGACTGTACCAGACGTCGCGTCGAATTCGTCAGCGACAATAAGCTGCCAAAAGAGCATCGAGGACCACCAGAAAGAGCGAGGGCAAGGCCCTAGTCGTCCCAAGTCCGGATTGGTCAGAGTCCGGGCTAGGACGTCGCTGGGCCCCGTTGCCCGCCTGAACAGGCGTCCAGTGCTGGGGAGCACAGCGCGGCAGCGAAGAGAGAGGCACTTGAGCGGCCGAACTGTTCAACCAACGAGCGGGCGCGGAGCAGAAGGCAGTCTGGCGAAAGGTGTCCGGAGCCCAACGCAGGGTGCAGTCGCACGGTAACCAGTTTTCCTGCAGGACGACGTAGGCGACGGAAGCCTCGTCCAAGGCGTCCAACGCTCCAGGGAGGAGACGGCCTATCCTGTTGTTCCTGCGAAAACGGCACACGTACATAGACGGCACACCTCCGTCGCTATGCGCGTCTGCAAGTAACCGCAATGCGCGTTTGCAAGTAAACGCATTCCAAGGATTTAGCCACCGAGTGTGTAAGAAACGCCCTGTAGCACGGGAACAGTCTTGCAATTTCGGACACCAGGAGTGAAATGGCTGCACCCAGAGGCCTTACGGGCGAACGTGTATGGACCCACGCGTTCTTCTGAAGTCGCACCCAGTGGCGCGACATTCGGCGAGGCGTACAAAGAGATGCAATTGGCGCATCACGGAACTGGTTTCTGCGCACGCATGGTGTCCACACCTGGCGTAAGGGGCAAAGCGAACCGATATTTGTAAACCCCCTGTTAGCGCATTCAACAGCACACACCGTAGAATTGCTCTCGATAATTATTACAACTACCGAGGAAACGAGCATGTTTTGCCAGTTTAACTCGATTAAGAAAGAATAACGAGAGAACATATAGGAAAAAACACAAGACCCAATGTGTGTCCCGTGTTGTTGTACCCTTCTTGCCTACAGAAAAGAATTGCTGTAGGCGCTAAAAGAAAAAGGCAAGCGTGGAGATTCACCGGGCCATCAGGAATCGTTTTAGAACGCACGGGAACAGAGTAATCCATCCCAGTACAGTGGGCGGTTAGTCGAAACTGACCGGCGGAACTCAAAACACACGTCCACTCTGCGAGCCGCTCCCTAAAGCTGCCATCACACTGCTAATACATGATACAAAAGACAGCCTGCAACACACTGTCTGAGAATGTGTTTCTTCCTTGTATGGCGGCCCCGTCACACTGGCCATACAAACAAACTGTTTGCAAACATGTTCGAAGCATACGGTATGACGCAAACATGCTCCCAAAATGCCCGAGGCATGTGCGCGGACAAGTCTGTCATCATTGTTTGCAACAGTGTATTTTGTGCGGTCTATTAGCAGTGTGAAGGCGGCTTTATAGACCGCTTTTGAGAAGGCTTCCGCGCACCTGAGCCTCAGTTCCACGACAGCGCGCATGCCGGCGAAGGCGGCTGCCCGGACCACGTCGATGCGGCAGCCCTCGAAGATGACGCTGCGAGCGTGGTTCAAACCGGCGAAGGCACCGGAGTCCACGAGTCCCAGGGTGGCGTCCCGGACGTGGATCTTGCCCGCTGCCTCGAGACCCCGAAAGGCGAACTGCGGGATCCGCTCGCAGCGGATCGACTCCAGGACGAGCAGGCTGACGTTCTTGAGACCCGAGAAGGCGTCCGGCTGCGGGCAGGTCACCTCCCGCGGAAGCCTGGCGGGCGAGACGCGCATCGACACGACGGAAAGTAATTGCGTTGCGTGCACGTTTAGACAGCCGGAAGTTAGTCAGTCTCAATGGGTAATTAGCGCAGCAGATACTGGATGGCGCACTCTTTTAAGAAGAGTCCAACCTATTTCCATCTTGAATGGAACTTTCTTCAGCCTGCTTTTGCATCTCATGGTTTACCCGCAGGGTGGCGCAAGCCACCGCCTAGTTCAAAGTTGTGCATATGCAGCCATCCATCCAGCTATTCATCGCTACTAAACGGCAACCAACGTTACTAGGATCAGAAGTTGATGAATGTCGAAAAGGTTTCATGTTGACAGCGGCTTTCCGGGGGTGAGCGAATTCCGCGTAGCAAAGCCCTCAAGCTTGTTGTCTGCTAAACCCACCTTGTTCAAACCGCCACCGACTCCGCGGTAACTCTCGTCTCATTAAGCTGCACTACATTTCTCGCCCAGCGGAGTCATTCTCGACCACAAAACATTTATTTATAAGAACTGTGAGGGCTGTCAGTATTACTGTTTGTACTTATGCCATTTAACAAGCTTCCCGAAAAGCAGCCGAAATGTTTCAGTGCCGACAACAGCTTAGAAACGGTGGAAACGGCACTTTTTTCCCCCATAGAGTCCTACGCATTTGGTGGTGTCAATCAATGGCCGCCGGTGGCGACACTCGGCCCCAGTTGCCGAGGCCGCGGTCCGCGATCCAGCCTACAACAATAGATATCAATGGCATTGGCACTCTGTTCTCCGATACTGTTTTGGGTGCCGCCATCGTGGTACCTGTGCAAAGCAGACGCAACTGCCGATCGTCACGATTAAAAATGGCGGCTTCCTCAGCCTTAGATTCGGTGTTAGGAACCTCGTGTAATATTGCTTTGCTCTGTCGAGAACTGTTTAACAATTTGAGGAGGACGGAAAAGCGTTTCCTGTGATTTCAGATAATGCTTCAGATAAATGCCAACCCTGATTTTAAGCCACAAGATGTGCAAGTGTCGTTACTCTGAAGCGTAGCTTATTTAGTGGCACTAGTCTCGGATATTCGTAATTTAACACAAAGTCGTAACAGCAACGAGTGACCAATCAAAGCACGGACCGATGAATGCATACGTCCAGCAGGTTATTTTGAACTGCAGCAATACATCCAAGCGCCTTGAGACACCAAACCATGAATATTCGCCCTTTTCTGTTTGGCAACAAACTCAGTGGCGCCACCTACTGGGTAGCACCGGCACACTTCCGGTTTGCGTGTATTTCCCTATGAGGATCGCGAGTTTGTCGTCTGCTTCTTTCGTAGAGGTTGCGGTGACGTCAGAACGCCGAGCTCTGACTGGCTCTGATTGAAGAATAGTGGGTAAACCTCAAGACGGCTTGCTTTGAGGTCTACCCACCATCCTTCAATCAGAGCCAATCTGAGATCGGCGTTCTGACATCTCCACAACCCCTGCAAAGGAAGCAGACGAATTTTCGCTCCGCATTTTCTACTCACCATTCTTTCATCGTAAGAGTGAATTAAGTCTGACAGTGCTATAAGTGGCCATTTCCAGAAGACAGTGTGTATATTCGATTTTGTAAATACCGCGAAACCCGATGTCTAGTTCAGAACCGGAAGTGGTTGAGAACTAGTTGCACTCTGGCGCCACCACGTTTCAACTCACGCGAGAAAGAGCGAATAGGAAGACAGGTCGGAAAAAAAAAGTTTAGGCCTTAGTACCAGACGGTGCACGGGATGTGCAATGCGAGCGAACGAAGAGGCCGGAATGTCCGCTGAACAAGACCGCGATGCTCACCTGAGCCATCCGAGTCTGTCGAGACCTCCGAAGGCCTTGGGCTTCAGCTCCGTCAGAGGGTTTCCTTCCAGGGACAGCGTACCGATGTCTGTGGAACCCGAAAAGGCCATCGACTCCACGCGGCTGATCTGGTTGAATCCAAGCTGAAGCAGCTGAACGCGCGCTAGACCCGAGAAAGACTGTGGCGCCGCGTGGGGGGCGGAAAAACAATAGAAATGAATGAACCACTAGCGTATCCCCTTCAATCAATCAATCAATCAATCAGTCAATCAATTAATCAATCAACACTTCAGCTTTCCTTTTGATTTGAAAACATTCACTGGTTCAGGACAACCTGAGGTGCCACAACTGCGCTTCTTCTGCTCCTCGCAGTTCAGACGCCAAACAGCGGCGTCCAGCGTTGGAACGCCAACTGCGCGCGAGGAGCCAATACACCTTAGAAGACAAGGCCTGCGTATAACGTCATGGTATAGTGGATCCCCGACGAGCCCCAAGCGACAAACGCGTCCCTCTTGGTGTCGCCGCGTCCTAGCGTCGCGTTCATCGCGAGACGCTGCCAGACGCGTGGGAGGCGATGCTGACACAAAGCTAGGCGACGCTGTGTGAATCCACTTGGGATTACGCTTTGGGGGGAAAGGCGGCCTTGTCTCCTCAGTGGTATTGGGGCAGAAGAGGACAAGCTTGTTGGTTCTGACTGGAAGGAGGCTGTGGGTACAGTGACAAAGCCAGTTAGCCCTTGCGCATCTATCCTTCCAATCAGAGTTGGCGGAGTTCTGACGTCCTGGCACGCTTTCCTCCTCTCCCCCGGTTTCTCCCCGTATAGAGGAGGGTCCCCCACCTGCGGAGTGAGCACGGCCAGCGGGTTGTTCTGCAGGCTCAGTTCGTCCATGTTGGTCAGGCCTCGGAAGGCGAAGGGCGCCAGCGACGAGATGCGGTTGTTGTCCAGGATGAGCTTGCGCACGCGCACGAGGCCCCGGAACGCGTCGCTGGTCACGGACTCGATCTGATTGCTGGTGAGCAGCAGCGCGTGAGCGCCGCGCGGGATCTGCTCCATGGGCGGGAGAGTCCGGTAGCCGGCCTCCTGACACAGCACCTGTTGTCCAACACGAATCCGCACACAGATTATGGTCACCAGCGGGGTTAGAACGACAGAGAGGTCCTCCGGGTGTCCGGCCTTCCGCGCTAGCTTCATACCTTCCATTATGCTTCGACATCTCGCCAGTCTCGAGCATGAGCCAAAGCACGACGGACGGCAAGGACCGCCTTATGAAGGCCGGGCATCGGAAAGAGACGCCCTGGCGTTCCCACCCAATCGGTGACTATAGTCGGTGAAACGGAGAAGATGGCACGACCTAGAGCCCCTGGGTAAGCTACAATGGAGAATATAGACACGGTGGGCTAGAAGGTAACGTCCGACGATCGCTTTTTTTTTTTTTTCACAACGGTCGAGGGCAGTTTTACGAATCGTGCCTCGTCTGTCGTTATCAACACTCTACCACCCGTAAGCTGGCAGCAGCGACATAATGGCGGACTAATCAATGATTTTAGAATTTCAGGACCACATTATGTCCCCCCCCCCCCCCCCTTCCCCTAAAAAAAAAAAGTCTTTTTTTAGTAGCATAAATGAGATACGCATTGCCGAACGCTCAGCCTTTGCCCGAATGTAGTGCTAGCGGTACGGACCAGATTCCCAAGTTAAAAAACAAACCGTCATCTTATTCAAAAGTTATAAGCGAATTTCGGAAATTTTCGAATAAGGGCCAAACAAGTCCCCTATTGTCGCTCGTTCTCGCACGAGTTGAAACTAGGTGGCGCCAGTTTGCGCCAATAGCCCCCATACACTTCCGTTTCTGAACTAGACGGCGGGTTTCGCGGTATTTTCGAGATCGAATTTACGCGCCATTTTCAGAAAATGTCGCTTCCGCCACTCTCACCATATAATTCACCCTTATAATAATAATAAAAAATAATAATAAAAAAAGATGAGTGAAAAAAACATTAGCAAGTATACCCGGACCCGAAGTGTGCCAGGGCTACCCAATAGATGGCGCCGCTAAGGTTGTTGGCGGGAAAAAATAATAATAATAATAATGGGCCGGGGGGGGGGGGGGGGGGGGGGGAGAGAGAGAATGCACGGGACTGAATAGAGCAAACTGTCGGGAAGGGGGGGGGGGCATTTTCCCATTGAAAATTTCAGCAAACTATACAAATTTTTAATAAGAAAACGCTGTGGATAAAACGAAGCCGGCAAAAACAAAAAGAGAAAAAGAAATGAATAAGGGCTTGTGTTCCTATTTACGGCTCAACAGTACCTCTACAGAGTTAAAGAAAAGCTGCATCAGCCAATTTTTTTTTTTTACCATTTTGTTATTTATTAGTCCCGGAGCGCAAGGCGGTGCCGCTTACAGTGTACTGATAATGCTGCGCCCTAGGTGCATAAATCCTGGGACCGTTCTCGCCCGCGCGGTCGTCACACCTCTTCTAGCCCACCCTATCCGCAATCCCGTGTGCTTCTAATCGCTTCAATCGAGAATACTGAATATGCTACGGTGGAGAGTAGTGTCCCGGACGCCATTTTGTTGCGTAAAATCAGTGTTGCCAGGTGTCATCTCCTTTCGCCGACGCGTTTAACGAAAACCGTAGGAAAGGCTATCTGCCCTTCAGCGACTGACTACAACGGAATTGCAGTGGCGACTTAACGCTGGGTGTAAAATTCTAAAAGCGTTGCGCCCCGGAATCATTCTTGCTGCCAAGGGAGGCAAAGCGAAGCTCCAAAGAGTAAAATGATGGCGTTCACCAACAACTCGAGCGCAAAGAAGGGTCACAATACAATGGTTCGAACCAGTTTTATGATGTGATATCGTTTGAACGTTTAACAGTGGGGTCTTCCTAACAATAGAGTACTACCTCCATGTTGCTTCCCGCCCACATGAAGTTTCCTTAAAAACTAAAATCACAACTTAAAAAAAAAAAAAACTAAACATCGCATTGGAAAAAAAAAAAAAAAGACCGGCGCTTTGTTTTTATTTATTGGGCTGCGGGACGTGTTCTGAGCATGCGCCGTAGCTCTCGGCTACGAAATATCAGTCGCCGCGCATGCGCACTACAATCCAGTAACTCGGCATAATTTGCCAGGGTGATAAGCGTTAAAAAAATATATATATATAGTATGAAAAAAGAAAAATAAAACGGAGCGGTTATCACCTGTAGGTTGAGGCACTGGCAGAGTTGAGGACACGCCTCGAGGGGGAGCACCCAGAGCAGAACCAGGGCAACCACTCGAAGGTGCGGCGGTTCCGGGGGTCGCATGCCGCCCAGTCGTGCTCACCCCGACCGCACGACGCGGAAGGCTTTTCGCGCCGGGCAACTGTTGAAAATAAGCAAGAAAAAAAATCGAGGTCACGCGATAACGTAGAAGAGTCAGGAGCAAGCAAAAATGTGCATTAAAACCTGCGATAAAATATGTTATCTCCGCAAAGAAAGTGCGAAACATATCGACAATAGAGATTCACTCGATCACGTTTCTGTGTTTAAATTCTGGCGGGAAAATAGGAAAAAAAAAATAACACTCTGAGCAAACTATAGTGATACATTATACAGAGTTCATTATTGAATGCCATTTTATTCTAACTTAGAGACAGTAAAATGCTGGGGCCAACATAGAAGTCGAATTTTGCCTTCCATAACAATCCTAAAAGCCAGTCACCGTCTGAAACAAGCTCACCAGCAACGGACCCGGCAATGGTTGTTCGCGGCCCCCGGCACCTTTGCTCCCAGTCTTTACGTTGTCGGCGACCACAGCCACGACCACGGCGGAAGCAGGGAGAAGCGCCTAAACGGCGCCGCCTTGCCAAAGAGCAAGTCTGACGAAGGTTCGCTCGCATTTCCGTCAAACGCCGCGAGATGGCGCATCACGACAGGGGCTCGAGGAGCCGATCTCACTCGCGCACATGTTTTCAAGGTCGCGATGTGCTCGACCACGCCAAGTCCCAACCCGATTGTTCCCCGCCGGGAGATGCGCCAAGCCAGAGAGGGATTTCGACCCCCTTTCTGGCCTTGAACCGACACCTGTCTCTTCTTCCACCGTGGCCACGACTTAAAGGGATACTGAACCGAAATTTCGAGCTCACTAAACAAGGCCGGGCGGATAGGCGGGAAGGTGCAAAACCAAAAAATATCACTCATACGGCGATATATTTAACGGATCGCCGTATTTTTTGGAAAAGAAGTGCGCGATTGAACCCGGTCGACGAGGCCGACGAGACAAGGCACGTCAGGATTCCCCTTCTCTCTCCTTGCTACGTCCCGTCAAGCTGGTGAACCGAAGAGAGGAGGAGAGAAGCGAGGCCGCTTCTCCCCATTCTCAAATTCTCCCGGAGGACAATGACGTCATAGACCTCGCTTGATCGCGCCCTTCTTTTCCAAAAGTACGGCCTTCCGTTTGAGATATCGATGTACGAGTGATGTTTTCGAGATCGTAGCGTCCGGTTCAACACTTCTGCAGCCTTACTTTGCGAAATACAAATTTCGGTTCAGTACCCCTTTAAAACCGTCCGGCGAACTTTGATGGGACGCACAACGTAATCTAGCGCCGAGTTTTCGCAACTATGAGGCGTGCCACGGTTGCATATTAAAATAGATCTTGAAGTTGTTCTAGTCCGGTGCATATTATTAAAAAAAAAAAAGCAAAAAAAAAGAAGAAAAAAAGACACAGGACGAGAACACGAAAGACAGCGCTGGGCTTGTCTTCTGTGCTCTCGTCCTGCGTCTTTTTTTCGCTGTTTTCTCTCGTTATTATTTTGCATATTGAACCCGATATCAAGTTGGAGCGTCCGACCGTCCTACCAGATCACGACGCATCATTTGTGTTCACAAGTGGTTCGGTGGCAGGCACTGCTCAAAGTTACCTTTTTTAGCCACCAGGCCGCGCTGACAAGCAACCAACAGTGGCGCCCCCTGGTCATTGCCCCCTGGCGCCATACGATCGGACGGAATATGCGAATATCAAACGAAATAAACAGGACTTGGTCGGTTCTTTAAAGGAAATATCTCATGCACGGGTTTGAGGACAATCGATCGACCAAAGAAAACGCAATCCCACGTCCGGGAGACGGAGCGACGGGCATCGCCTACGCAAGCACCTCCATCCACGAACGGAGGACAAAGGGACGCGGCGATACCTCGAACGCGACCAGAATCCTTAACGGCACGTCTCGACCGAGCTCAGGAACAGCGCGGGCACAATCCCTTTTTCTCTCCAGAAAGGACCGGAAAAACGGCAAAGAAGCATCCAGACATACGTCAACCCCACTCCAAGCTGCAACAAACAAACAAACAAACAAAAAACGCCAAGGAGCACTAAAGAAAACGACATCTAAATACTCACATCGAAAAGGAAAAAAAAAAACAATCTAAAACTTGCAGATAAAAAATATCTTTACAAAAAAAAAAAAAAAAAAAAGGAAATAAGCCAGAAACTGCGTTAAGAGCCAAGCTTCCGGGACACGAGAGTGGACGTAGAGACGAAAAACGAAAAGAATACGAACACGTGGAAACAAAGCAGGCGCGTGTGAATGGGTTGCGCCAACGCGCGAAAAATGCGGGGTCGGCAAGCGAACGTTTCCGAGAGCAATAATGCCGTGCCAACTGGAAGCGTTTTCTGCCAAATCGAAGCTCGTTGTTTCGGCAAGCGGACGCACGTTAAAACAAGTAATGGGAACTTTAGTGAGGCGCGCTAAGTGGAAGGGTCGAGCGCTACGCAGCTGGAAACAGGCATCACAGACACCAGTGCTGCTAACGCACTACGGGCGTTGGACGGATATCGAATATACGGACGCTTGCACACACTCGGAAATGTAAGGAACCACACAGGAGCATACACAATCGCCACCTATACAAATGAGTGAAAGCAATAGAAAACGCAAACGTGTTAGAACTTAAAATAAGGAAACGGGAACGGTCCCCAACAACTCCGGGAACGCGGTGCGGACGTCCTCGTTTCAGCATTTCGTTTCAACTCTCTACTGCAAATAAAAACAAACGAAAAAGTAATGTGAACTGAAAGAGAGCCAGCGAGCCACGGATTGGACGGGAGCTTTCCCAAGTAAAAGGCATTTCTCGCACCCCGGCAACAAATCCTTCCAAGCCCCTTCGCAAATTGAAGATGGCTCTCCCGCACAGATAGTCCTAGTGTGGGAAAGACCACCGTTTAGGAGCAAACGGGGCTTTATTTCGTGCGCGAAGTTCTGAAACTGGAAACCTTTCAGCGGTGCCAACTCCTTTTTTTTTTTTTTTGTATATATATATATATATATATATATATATATATATATATATATATATATATATATATATATATATATATATATTTATTTATTTATTTATTTATTTATTTAGACAAAAATACCATTCTGTATTTGTAGCTGATTACGTCGCCATGGACACGTATGAATTCAATTAAAAGGGAAAAAATATTGGGGCTAATATGTGTACTTTTCTCACAAAGAATCCGCTACCTGGATACATTCTTAGCTAGGTCATCTCTACAGCCTTGGGGAATACATCAATGGAGATCCACCACGCTTGAATCCTGCTTGCTCGGATAATCGAAACATTCTTGATTACTATCATTAACACATAGCTTGCCCGTTTCTCAGCATGTACTCAGGTAAACTCCGCGACATTGTTAGGGCGAACAAACCACGCCCGGTTTTCCCTGCTCTTCTCTCAGCATTGAAGGACCGCCATCAAAAAAGTACCATAGTGGTGGAAAGTGCTCAGTGGGTGTACTAACCTAAGTGGTAAACTTTGGTGCCCGCCGGTACCCCTTCGAAGTAAAACAAATGAAAAAATGCGACGAAGTCGTGCTCGCGCCAACAGTCTCGCGCGGCGTACCTGTTGCGAAATCTCTACGAACGTCTATCCGCGCTTTTGGCCTTTAATTATCATGCCTGGATAGGGAACCATTTTGGCAGCTCCCTCGAAGTAAAGCTCGAAGTAGATATCTCGAGAGCGAGATGTCCGTCTGGCTCTGAGGTACGACACCGCTTCCTCCCGTAGCAGACGACACAATTAGACAGCGGAGTACTCAACCGCTAACCTGGCGTCTTTGCGATACGTCCACCGCGCTGTAGCGCACATGCAAACACCCAACGCTAGCGAAGACGCCACGGTCGGCTTCCCCGCAAAACTAGGGTGAGAATGAATTCCTTTCCTAGTCTCCAAAGAAGAAGAACCCGACGGGCGCGAAGGAACTGGAACTGCGTGGAAAGTTGCGCAGTCCATTGTTGCAGCACTTTTCTCTACTCCCTTTCTTCCTTGTTTATTTTTTTTTTTTCATCCCTTTTCTGCGATTTCCTGAAAGAATAGAGCGGGCAGCCGGCGGCCAGTACAAAGCGCCCGACCGCCCGCGCCGTTCTCCCTGCCAAATGAAAAGGCGCTCCCTCCAGCCGTCTCATCGCAGCGGTTCGCGCTTTAGATATTATGAGTGGATGGATGGATGTAGGGAGGAAGGGGGGGAAAGAGTGTAGAAAGTCGAGAACGTAAGGGGGCGCCAGCTGTGCTCCCTTAGCAGACGGTGGCTTCCGTGCCGCCATTACTATATATATACTGCCCCCCCCCCCCTCCCCCACACATGGAAATTCGCGGGCACTCCGTAATTTTCTTTCTATTCGTTTTTTTTTTTTTTTTTTTTAATCCATTCTTTTGCGAGTCACTCCGTGTTCATCGAAGCGTGAACTATGCCGGAGTTCGAGAGTCTAAAAAAAAGAAAATTCCGACAGTCGTCAAAGGGAGTTTTAGCCCCCCGCAATTTTTGCTCCGTAAACGTCAATTCTCGTTTGTTTGTTTTTTTTTTGTTTTTTTTTCTTCTAATAATACAAATAATCGTGGTTTTTTTTGTTTGTTTTTTTTCGTTTTTTTCACGAGTCACTGCTTTTGGACAATCGTTATCATAAGGCGTTCGCGCTTTCTACAGTGACGGAATACAGCTCGTCGCCACAAATTGACATTTTTTTTTTACGACAGGAAAAGTAGGGGGTAACTCAAAGCAGCTATTTTTTTAACTGGTTACCAAACCAGATTAAAAAGAAAAAAAAAGTTAAAACGACTCGAATAGCTTTGCGAATTACTGTGAGAGATTTTGTGCTAACATTTTTTGTTTTTCTTCGGATGGAATGTTTATGTATTGGTGATGTGTTTCCAACAAACAAGCTTTCCGAAAAGGCTTTTCTTTCTAAAATACCTTTCTGGATTTCCATAAAAAATAATAATTATTAAAAAAAAATGTTTAATACTAAAGGACAAAGCATCGATTTGTTGCGTACGAATAGAACCACGCTAATAAACCATTAAATTCGGAATAGGAAA